TCAGTATTTAGCTTCCTACACCCGTAATATTTTCTTTTCTTTCTTTCAATGTACAATATTGGAACAAATTGCACTGAGGCACATGTCAAAAGTGTTGGTAATAAAAAACACATTACAAAGAGTAGCAAAGTTCCTAGAATATACATTTCTTAAAAACTAAATTAGGCTTATTATTCAAATGCTTTTATTCTGTTGGAGTTCAAAGTTCTTATAGTGACAATCAATATGAAAGACTTCTTGTACTATTGATACGTGACAATTCCTCCCTCTACAAAACAAATAGAAATGCTATATTTAAAAAAAAAAAAACTATATAGGGGCCGCCAGGTGGCACAGTGGTTAAGTTCACACGTTCCACTTCAGAGGCCCGGTGTTCACTGTGCTTCAGACCCCGGCTGCAGACCTACCCACCACTTGTCAAGCCATGCTGTGGCAGGCGTCCCACATATAAAGTAGAGGAAGATGGGCACAGATGTTAGCTCAGGGCCAACCTTCCTCAAAAGAAAAAATTAAATAATGCTAAACTGGCAAGAAAATAAGGGAAATCCTCAGAAGATAAATACAAGACAGGCGTGAGAATCCAAGGAAGGATATCAAAGATTGATGACAGCCACTGACTTGATCTTTTGCTGATCCTGTTTCATCTAAAGTTTTGGTTTGATAGTTACTGAAGGTACAGGAAATAAAGCAGGGGCCCTGTACAAGACTGGGGCATTTGAAACACAGAACAGTAAATGAAGTCAGGACTACCTAAGACTAATATTAGATACCTGGTGATGGGAGGGAAATTTTTGATCTCTACCATTCACTACATACAAACATCAATTCCACAGAGGCCAAGGATTAAATGTGAGAGGTAAAAATGTAAAATATTTTGGAAACAAAAAGAGGAAAAAAATCATTTCCTAAAGGAAAAATCCATAGCTTTTAAAAATTTTAATATTAGAGAATAGGAAAGAATTAAAATCAGTAGTTCAGAACCCAAATTAGGAATTCATATTAAAGAAAAGAAGATCCACAAAATTTAACACAAAGAAAGATGTAAATAAAAAAGAAGATAGTAAAATTAGTGAAATAAGAAGCAAAGGTACAATAGAGTTTCAATGAAGCTATCTAAAGAAGGCCTACGGCAATACTGATAAAAAAAGATATATAAATAATATGAGGATTAGAAAGAGAGATGAATACAGATGCAGCAGATGTATTTTTAAAAATAGAGATTATTACAAAATTTACACAAGTTCATTGAAAATGGTCAAGTTCCTGGAAAAAGAAATACAATAATTAAAACTGACTCAGCTAGAAACTGAAAATTACAATAGTCCTAAAATCATTGAGGATATGGGATTAAGAGTATAAATATTTATATAAGGAAGATACCAGTCTCAGATAATTTTAACTGAGTTCTGCCAAACATTCAAAGAAGAAATAATCTAATCTTACATGAACTCTTTGCAAAGCTATATATTTTTAGAGATATACACATAAGTGGTAAAACTATAGAGAAAATAAAATTAATAGTCAACATAATTTGGAATACTTACCTTTAAGCAGTAATTGAGGGCACCGTGTAGAGATATGAAGGAGGATTTAAAACTATTAGTAATGTTCTATAAGTTAGGCTGAGTGGTGGGCACATGGGTACTCCTTCTGCTCTTCTATTTTTTACAACAAACTTTTTAACTATTAGCAATGTCAAAATGGCTTCAGACGATAAAAAAAAATCTTAAACATTTTTATTTGATTTTTCAGTAAATAATGCATTCCAAAATTTCAACAATAAAAAAATGTAGAAAGGTGAAAATTTTCTTTCCACCCTTGTCTCAACTATTTCCAGCTCCCCCAACAACCAATGTTATTAATCCCTTTATATTTTTCTGCATTTCCTTAATATACAAGCAGATATCAATATTTAGTTTTATTCCCCTCCCCACTTTTTTACATTAAAAGTAACATATTCCCTACAATATTCGGTACCTTTTTTTTCCCAAACAATATACCTTAAAGATATTTATATTTCAGCACATAAAGTGTTTCCTCATTTTTTTGGATTTGTATAGTATTCTGGTTTATTTCAGCAGACTGTATCAGATCTGTATAGCCACCCTTCCATGAATAAATCATATATTTTTAAAATTTTTTTCTTCTAACTTTTTGTTCTTGCAAGCAATTATCCTATGAATATGCTTGGAAATATATTTGAATATTTCCTATGAAATTCTTCTCATGTGTGCAAGTCTGTTTGAATGATAAATTCCCAAAAGAGGAGTGGCTGGGTCAAAGTACACTTCCTTTGGTAGTTTTGATAAATATTGCCACATTATCCTCCATCCTTAAAGCAACGTAAGGGAGAACTTATTTCCCCTTAGCCTTCTCAAGAAGGAGTGTGTTATCAAACTACTCCACAGTTTGAATTTCTATTTTTCTCATTTTAAGTATGGTATAGTATCTTTTCATATTTTTAGAGACACTATATTTTCTTTTCTGTGAACCATATGTTCATACCAGCTGCCCATCTTTCTACTGGATTTTTCCTTTTCTTATCAATTTCTAGAAATCTTTTAATACAGTAGAGAACTTGACTCTATGTCTATGATATGAGCTGAAAAATTTTCTGTTTGTCATTTGTTTTTTGACTTGGTTTATGGGTTCTCCTATACAGAAATTTTTGAATTTTATCTAGTCAAGTGTATCTTTTTTTTGCTTTTTTTTTTTACTTTTTGGAATTTGAATCATGGGTATAAAGGCCTTTACTCCAAGATTATAAAGGCATTCTTTCATGCTTTCTACTGAGACTTCACAGTTTTCTTGTTTTTATTTGAAATTTACCATAATATGTGGTATGACGTACGGAGCTATGCTGTTTTTAATAATAATTTCTTTCTCCAAAGAGAAATCATATTTAAAGTAGATCACTCTCAACTTAGAATACAATAGTATCATAAATACCACGATTTTTTTAAATGCATTATTTTAAGAGAATATGATTCTTGTAACATTTATATTCTCAGTATAGGTCTAAAACAGTATTTTCACACCTTATTTTAAAAGCCATAAAATGGCAGTTAAAAAGTCAGGTAAAAGGATAGTGGCCAAGTAACTCCAAAACCACCCTTTTCCAAACACAACAACAGCAATGCTGAGATAATCTCAGGTAAACTCTGATGCACAGCCTTTTTACTCCCTTTTAGTGAATTGAATTAAATATTTTTGTAAGCTTAGATTAACCAATTGATTAAGATCCACACTTCTCTCCAATTTCTTTTTAAGATTTGGGAAAATCCAGTCTGTTAAAGATTCCAGTCCATATAATTCCTTTGGTAACTCCTATGAGAAAAACAGTTTGTAAGTTAATACAAAAGAGGAAATGTCTGAATCAACCTGTGGGAAGCTCTCCCCCAAAGAGTACCACAGCTCTCCCATAGACAACAGAGTTGCTTGGCAGCCATCATGATAGCAAAGTCTCCAACATCCTGGCCTTCTGCTCACCTTAAATCATTGACAAATGCAAAGAAGATAATCAAGAGCTAAGATTAGTAGGTGTTTTGAGCTGCTCCTCATCCCAGTTTCTTCTTGAAGTCAAGGAACATGTGCTTCTAAACACAGATGGTTGGCTTCATTGAATGACTATTGTTTTATGTAGACATAGGCCTGATAAAGTTTCATCTTCCCCCAGGACTGGGCTCACCCGACATGTATTGATTGCTAAGATCCTGAAAGGCTGGAAATAGTGGATATGTGCAATCTGTTTCTAATTTGAATATCCCTGAGTATTGCCCTCTTTGCGTTATCAGATGTTTACCTAATGTAATACCAGTGGAGAATTCCAAGCACAGTAAATGGTATGGAGAAATGAAATGGAGTCATATGCAGGCAGAACAGAGTTTAATAGAAAAAGGGTTAGGAGAGCAAAGGAGAAGTTATTAAAAACAACAACAATATCACTGTGATGGTTGAGCCTTGATTCCAGTAATAATTACCTGTGTGACTTCTAGCAAGACAGATCTTATAGGTATCCATTTATATACTAATAAAATGAGCAATTTGGATTTTTTGGTTGGAGTGAGAGGGCCATGCTTGAGGGATAATCAGAAAATTTCTTTTGCTTTTTCATTTAGTTAATAATTATCTGCTGGTCACTCTCCATTAATCAAATATATTGAGTAATTGCCAAATATCCTTGTAAGTATTCAAAGTTAATAATATGTACACTTACATATTTCTAGTTTTTTCCAATCTTGAATTATTTGTATAGTTTGTTTTATTATTCTTGAGAAAATTTTGTAAAAATATGTTTATAATGTGCATTAAATGACAAAAGAACTGTGGCAAAATAAGATTTAAAATTCTTTGCACTAGAAAAATGCTTTCAAATATCTTTTAGTAAATAAGCTATGTAAAAATCACTGGTCTTTTTTCTAGAGACTGGCTAAAATCTTCAGTATATAATCAATGAGGGAGATAAATTTATAAAGGTTTCATAAACAAGTCAATTCACAAAAATCGGCAATCCGACAGGTGTCTATACTTTCCTGCTTCCAAAAAGAGAATGCTTTATTGTGACCCTAATAGATTATCTGTTTTTTCCTTCATAAAACTAATGAATCAATTGTTGATGGTCTGAAATATTCCTTAATGAAAGTCAATATGTGAACATAGACTCAATTTTTCTGTTCATTAATTAACATGGAATCCAGCTGACCCTAACAGAGACACTCTCCTTTACTGATTTTCTATATGAATAGAATAGGGAACCTCCACATTTCCTTAAGATGGAAGTCATTTGCTGCTTTTTTCTTTATTTCATAAGAGAAACTTAAAAAAAAATTTTTTTTTTTTTTGAGGAAGATTAGCCCTGACCCATCTGCTGCCAATCCTCCTCTTTTTGCTGAGGAAGACTGGCCCTGAGCTAACATCTGTGCTCATCTTCCTCCACTTCATATGTGGGACACCGACCACAGCATAGCTTGACAAGTGGTGCCATGTGCGCACCCTGGATCTGAACCCGCGAACCCCAAGCCACCAAAGCAGAACGTGCGAACTTAACTGCTGCGCCACTGGGCTGGCCCCCATAAGAGAAACTTTTATTTACTCATGGTTCCTCCTAGATGAGTTATAATCAATATTCATGGTGCTCTCTACTCTGCCCATACTTTGAGACTTTCCTAAGATGAGTTTCTCAAGGTGTTTTATAATATGAACACCCTATAAGAAGAAAAATTCTCATTACGTTTCACAAACCAGCAGGAAATAATCCTTTTAATACCACCTAAAGGAGCACTTCTGGAACCGCCATGATGAGAGCTCCCTTTAATTATGGTACTTTGGTACTTTGGGTATAGAATATACCCAAACCTACCCAGGAAAACCATGGGTTTGAGGTTCTGCTTGTGGATAAGGGAAAATAGATTAAATGGGAAGATTAAGTTGTTCAATGAGAATTTTTTATCTTTGGTTCTTTGTTTTCTGACAAAGATCAATGTTTATTGTTCAGTATAATTAATTAAAGCAGTAAGGAATTTACCTTAAAAGGGACAAAATTCAGCAGAACCTGCCACCTCTGGAAGACCCCAAAAGGCAGATTGTGAGAGGCCTTTCCCCTGAGCATCTGCAGCCCTGGCAGGTACTGCCAGCACTGAGCAGAAAGGAAGGAACCAAAGAAACTTAACAACTATCCCCAAAACAGCATGGAAATGTGGAGATAATATTGCATTTTCCATGAAAAGGAAGGGACTAGATTATCAAAATCTAGCTCATATTGTTGACACAATTATTGTCCCATTTCACAGAGGAGAAAACTGTGTGCCACAGGTCACACAAATTAAACTAGTAAGTCTTATCACACTTAAAGCACCACCAGACAGTACACAACTTTGCTTATCTGCTTTGTGTGTGTCCTCGCCACTAGGATGTGACTTTCAGAAGGGCAAGGGCTTTATTTTGTTTACTGCTATATCCCCGGAACCTAGAACAGTGCCTGGGGCAGCATAAGGGCTCAATAAATATTTGTTCATGTTGAAAATGAAATAAACTGAAATCATCATCCAATTCACTCTACTACTTCAAGGGGAAGACTTTATAACTGACGCTGGCTTGTATCTTCATTCCATCATTCTAGAAGTCAAGTGACATTCTAGTGATTTGGAAAATATACTAAGTATATTTGATTAAATCAACAATAAATTCAAGACAATAGTATAATATGCCCGCACATGTTTAAAGTCCATTTAAAAGCATTTTGTACTTCCAAATACTAACACCAATTTCTTATGTCTCCATATTTTAATGACAAATTTATTGATAGCTATTTGATATGATGTGTTTTCTAAATTTACAGGAATTTAGCTAAAAAGATTGAAAGGGCATATGTGCACATCCATTTCTGAATCATAAGTTTCACTTAGTGACATTTCATTTAACAGAACTCCATTCATCCTCAGAAATCAACAAAGACATGAGATAATATAGACATTAAATAAAAAGTTAATATTATGGTTTTAAGAATATAATAAAGAATGACCCGTAAAATTTCTAAATCCATTAAAAAGAGGATAGAATTAATAAAATTTACTAAGGAACATATTCCTAGGATTCATTCATAAAAAGAAACAAAATTCAATAGAAGGGCTGAATTACAGTATCTTCCATGTATGTATATACTTGAGCTTGAACCCTTTATTTTGGAAGTTTTGCTAAACACATTCATGAAGACTGGCAAAAAAGGATGTCACAGAGGCAAATAGCTTCTACTGCACAGACTGTCAAGGATCAAATAGTAAGAAACACAAGAAAATTCTGCCTTTAAGAACAATTTAGTCTCTTCTCCATAGAAGAAGGGTTTTCCAAATTATCCGTTAACCCTGATTGCCATATATTTATGTACTTGACAGCAAACGTGATTTATATTGATTCCCAATATGCTACATAGTATGCATCACAAAGCCACTAAAAGACTGGTTGTCTTTGAAAACATTTTCAAACATCTATCCTTATTCTTCAGGTTATTTTTCCCTCTTCAATACCACCAGCCAATTCTTTATTTTCAGTGTCTTCATAGTAGCAGGTCTGGTAGGAAATTATAAAACTGGGGGCTTGAACCATTACAATGTAGACAAAGGCACGACAGTGCAGTAGAGGAAAGGGAATAACCCAAGTTTGGTAAAAATGCAAATACAAACTTTAAGGATAAAAGTCAGAAACCCGTCACACCAAGAACCAATATCTAAGCTATCTGGTTATTAAAATTACGGAGAAGTCAGTCCAAATCGTAGGAAATAAAAGTATAGGGATAAAGACAATGAATGTGATTGTAAGGTTCAGAAAATGATAGCTGCAAATCAAATGCAGAGAAGAGGGAAAAAGTTGGAAAGCCAGTTAGAATGTATGAGCGTGAGTAATTCATGTCATGTCAGAACTGTAAATTTTCAAAGTAAAAGATATGTAAAGATATCAAATATAAAACTCGATTGATATAAGACTTCTGTTAAGAGGGTTCATAGACTAAATGGTTGTATTCTATAGGTTTGTAGATCGTGGGAAGATCTTAAAACTACCAAAAAGTCCCTCATCATCTTATAACTGTTTCAGAGAGAGTGATCATAATTTCTTTCCCTTCTCTTCTTCTTTTCCTTCTCCTTTCCAGTAAAAGTAACTCTAGTGACATTTCCTCTTAATCTGGCTTCAAATATTGGAGGAATAATGGTCTTTTAAATTCCCTTAATTTTTAAAAATTGGAATGAACTAGGAAAACAATGAAGAACAATTAACTATAGTTTTGAGCTCAAAATGACTTTTCATCTGAAGGATCTTGCGGTTTCTCCAAGAGTAAGTGTAAGTCATGCATATGATATAGGGTCCAATGATCTTAGAGAAACTCCCAAAGATAAAGCTCAAACACTAATGTCAAACTTAGACCCTGGGGTAGAGACTAGATATGGGGGAAAGAGGGATATAGTTCTTGTTTCATGATTTCATCATCATCAGAGATGGGAAAAATCCCCCTTCAAAGATAAATAACAAAAAGATGTTTCTCATTAGGAAAAAAACCTCTCCTTAAATGCATATTCCTGTCTATTATATAATTTGCTGAAAAAAATTAAGATCTTCATGCAATCCTTTTGGATTTGCTACTCAACTCCAGGCACTACTCAAGGCACTGATAATGCAATAGGAAACAAGACAGACAAAAATCCCTGCCTGTGTGGAATTCATGTTCTATTAGGGGAAAACATAAAATAAAATAAATAAGCTATACGGTGTATTAAAAGGTGGTAAAAGCTATGGAGAAGAAATAAAGCAGGAAAGGAAAATATGAAAAACCAAAGGGCCACGTAATTTTAAATAGGTAAGTCTAGAGAGTTCCCTCTAAGAAGGTGACATTTGAGCAAAGATCTGAAGGAGGTGAGGAAATAAACCAAGTGGATATCAGGGAAGGAGGCAGAAGGAGCAAAAGGGCAAAACTTCTGAGGTGGAGGCATGCTCGGCAAGCTCCTGGGACAGCAAGGATGACAGTTTGACAAGAGAACAAAGAGAAGAGGAAACATTCTTAAGAGATGATCTAAGATCTAAGAAAAGTCAAGGTCACAGATCAGGGGTGAGAGGGTATCTTGTGTAGGACTTCAGAAGCAAGAAATTAAAGTATTTAACAATTACTTTTGCATCGTACAGGCAAAAATGCCAACCCAATCAGAAAATACACTATTCTGCCATACTGGTGTTTACTTAACTTCATACCAATTCTCCTCATGCTCCATTTTAAGGACTTTGGTTTCTACTCTTGCAGAGAGTTTTGAAGAGAGTGAAATAATCCGTTCTTACTCTTGCTAATGTGTTGTAAATTGATTCTAGGGGCCAAGGGCAGAAGAAAGGAGACTAGTTTTCAGATTATTAAAATATTCCAGGAGGAAAATGTTGAAGTCTTTGACCAAGGTAGTGATGGTTTGAGGAGTGATGAGAGTGTAGATACATATATTTTGAAGGAGAGCCAACAGTATGAGCTAGATGATTGGATGTGGTTGTGAGAGAAATATTGGAGAGAAAGAGAAGTTGGCTCCAAAGTTTTAAGCCTTAGGAACTGGAAGGTTACGGCATGGGATTGCTAGAGGGGAAGGAGGTTCAGGGTGAAGGAAGAGAAGTTTGGTTTTGTAAATGTTAAATGGAAGATGTCTATTAGACATCCAAGTAAAAATGCTTAGATATATGTATTCAAAGGAAAGGATGTTACTAGTCTTCTCCATGAATCCCAGATACAAAGAACACAATAACTTTCTAGCACTAAAATCTTATCATGATATATTTTTAAACACTTGGGTAAGAATTTACAAATCAGCATGTAAATATTTTAATACTATGCAACTCACTGAATTGTGTATATATGTATATACTATAGCATGTTTTTCTTAGAAGGCAACAAAGTGTTTATGGTGTCTGATATTTTTACGATTCTAGTCAGAAAAAAGGGAAGAAGAGAGCATATTTATTTTTATTTTTGGAGAGAAGTGATACTCAGAGATAAGGACTTTTGGAGATGTTGTTGTTGCTGTGTGAAGATAGATCATACATCAGAGCCGTGACCATCACATCCCATGGCCTCTTTTCATTGGCGAAGTATTTAATTCTTGACATCATAAACCTTTGGCATTTTGAAATAGTTTTCTGTATTTACAATACACTTTAATGCACTTTTTAGCGACAAGAAGCAGAGACCATATCTCTGTTTTTTCATGCATTCTCTGGTTTCCCTGGAGTTATTTCCACTCAGGATGCTTCTGCAGTCGCTACTAGAAATTTGGGCTCTTTCTGACATGACTTTAGGAAGAGGTGTGAATAACAATTCTTGATAACCTCACAAGCTGTGTAGGAGAAAATCATCTGCATTTAAGCCAACGAAAGTCATAAAGTCTATTGTAGAAGGTTCTAATGTCTCTTTTCCCCTCATTAGGTGATTTTTCATTCACAGGTAGGATAATTAATAGAAACAAGCAGAAGATACAAAGATGTATTTATTGAATAAGCATTTTTTTCAAGTCAGGCTGAATGTTTTTATTTTACTTACTATTTTCAACTGGGATTATTTTTAATAAGATGTATTTAAATGAATGATTTTTTGTAATTCATATTTCTGAATTTGGTCTCTGATGTCTAATCAAATAACTTTACATAAAAATGTGAAAATGTTAGCTATTTTATTCACCGATCATTCCCATTGCTATATGTAACTTAAAAGTTAATTGACTTTTTCATTCAAACTATCCTTTGAAAGCTTGTCTAAAAGTTTAGGACACTGAAAATGTCATTTTGATGAAGTGTTATGTGTTTTCCCCTTTAAGCTCCAAACAATCAAATATCAGAAAATTTCAGATGTCCTAACTTACATAGCTCACTAAAATTTCTCTCAAAATAAAATTATTATTGTCCATTTTTAGAGGATGTTTTAGAAATCTCCATTGTACAGATGCCACAGATACAATATTACCAAATTCAACATTTACTGTATGCAAAGTAAATGCTTTTTTAAAGCAGAACTGTATATTTATTCAAAAATTATACCATTTATGGTATTATATTGGGATAAACAACTCCCTCAAAAGGTCAAAGATATTTGAGCCAAACAGTAGTGTACTTAGTATTCTTATCCAGGACTTGCATAATTACATCTCCGATATCTTGCTTTTTCTGGACAGTTTTGAAAACAAAAACTACTTGGTTTCCAAAGTTTTATTTATCTTTCAAACAAACATGTAAACTGAAAAACTGGATTAGAAACAAGACAATGCTTTGAACCTCTGTTAAATATAAACCAATTATAGCCCATTGCGATTTTTCAAAATAGTTGAGGATTGGTTCACTCTTAAAAGTTTTGTTAAAATTTATTTTGAGTTTTGTTTAGGCCCCCCTCATTCACCACGAAAAATAATTTTGACAGAATAAAGGCATTGATATCATTAAGGACAAAAATATTTGCATTGAAACTTAAAACTAAATCAGCTACTGATCAGATGCGCTCTAAATTGTAACAATGTCCACTCTTTACTATAAAAGTGCATTTATTGTACTTAAGTCCTATACCTATTTGGTTTTTAAATAACTTTTTTTATTTCAACAGTATCGTTTGCACTCCTCTTGCTTTAGAAAATAGTACAACTTGGGTGTTTCAATCTACAGAATTGCTATTTTATATTTTTTCTTACAGTCCAGGGGAATAAATTTCCATACTCAGCACAGAACAGAGTTCATAATATTATCTTCACATGTGGGATTAACATATGGATGTTTACAAAATAATGACCTGAATTCATGAAAAAAAATTGTATTCTCTAAGCCATTAAGATCATGACATAATAATGTTTCAAAGCCAAGCCACCTTTTGTATTTTTACTTATCTGCCCCCTTTCAAATAGTAAGTAGTGCTAAATAGTTCCAATAGCATATTGGAAAGCAGTTTTTTCAACTAAAACAAAACCAAAAAACAAATCCTTTTCACTACTGAAGAGAATTACACACCCTGGATATTTAGCCAATCTTCTACTTTTGTTCCATTATATTTTATATAACCTGCTGATACTTACATGATCTAATGCCCTGATACATTTAAAATGTACCCACTGTTTTTAGGCTATATATCTATATCGCACATATAAAACAGAATATATGTCTATCAGCTTATTGATGTAAAAAATGTAAAAACCATATCTGAAAGTTCAAATACTGTGCCAGAGCTCTGCTCATTTTATTTTGTGTGTTGAAAATCATCCTGAAATGCCCTCACGGCTGATGGCAACTTTTCAAGTCATCATTAATAAATACACACAAAATAAGATGCAAAGGAGATATTATTAACTAACCAGACCAGTTACACGTTTAGATAAAACAAGAGAGGAGTGCACAGACTTCCAGCAGGTTTTCTTGCTAGAACTTCTCTAAAGGACCATAAATATGTCCGTAAACCTTTAGGTGGTTTGTGGGAGGAAAGGAAGTCTGTTCCTGCAGACACACTGCCATGGCTCCAAGAGTTCTTTTTGTGAAGAGTGATAAATGTGTTCCCCGATGTCTAAACAACTCTCTATTTTCTTGATGCATTGGAGGGACCTCTGTTCCCTCAGGAATATTACAGAAAATTCTAATGTCTAATTTAACAATGTGACCTAATTAACAATATTAAAGAGAACCTAACTGTTTGGCTTTCCTGCTTATGAATGTCTGAATTACCAGTACTGTAAAGTAAGCAAGCATTTTACATAAAAAGACTTAAGGATGTCTCTGCCTACACTTATGCAAACTAATATTGAAATAAAATAAAACATGCATGCCCACTTCAAAAACTTGCTTGCAAAACTCTATTTAATACTTGTATATTGTTTTAGCATAGCTCCAGAATTATCAATAACACGTGTTCAAGTTACTGCATTGAACTTACACAATAAAGACAATACTGTATGAGAATGCTCAAAGCAAGGCCTCAGATATCCTTCTTCAAATATCTATATTTTACCCTTATAACAAAGATGCATGTATTTACTTTTTGGAAGAGAGTACAAGTAGAATCCACTGTCTAGTATCACTGATACTCCATTTTTAAAGAGGCACTTTTTCATATTTCTTAGAGTATATTTTCATGATAATCTCTTCCTTTTTAAATATCACACAACAATGTGTGCAAATATCACTGACAACATAGGAGAAGTTATTTATTTTTAAACCAGCTTTGGAAGCAGCTGCCCCTGAAACAATGGAGGAACGAAAAGAAAGAAGAAATAGAAGGTAGCGCAGGTAAGGGGAAAGAAGACAGTGGACTACTGGCCTATTCCAAGTCAAATATGACAATTCTTTGATGTCTACATATTTTCAGTAAGAAGCCAAAGGAAAAACCAAAGCATAGCTCTCAAAACAGGCAGGCAAATTCATTAGGACAAACGTCTAGTGTTTGGGTGGGAGCGGGAATGTGCTATTGCAACTAAATTGAAAAAATATATGGGTGCTTATTTGCTAAGTTATGTAACAACAGACATAGCTACATGACACAGAAAATCACATGAGAGAAAAAACTCCCAGTTAGTTAGTTAGTTAGTTAATTAGTTAGCTGGTGCTGAGGGGAAAATTCATAAAGTTGACCAAATATCCCTTGACTAAGCAGCTTCAAAAACATTACTGGAAAGTTAGTTTACTCACAGACTGAACTAGACATATCGATTTCAAAAAGCATCATTGTTGTAATCTGTTAATTCATTTAAAAATATTTTACACAATCCAGCCAAGTCTCAATTGCTCATTCGAAGAAGAGCAGACGAGCAGCAATGCCAACACAAAGTTCCCAAATGTTGGGTAGGGAGATAGTGTGAATGATACTTATAATTAGATAGGTATACACATAAAAAATGCCTTCCCAGTTATTTTTATATATGACACAAGACTTATGATAGAGGAAAGAAGCTGGCTATGCCAGTTGACATCTCAAGCTGGTAGAATTCCGAAAATTGGCAATAAGTGGTGCATATCAAGAGAAACTTACAAGAATGAAAAGTTGATTGGCCTTCTGTACTTTGTTTCTATTTTATTCCAATGCATCATATTGCCTAACACTTGCTTGTATAGTATATAAAGCCCAAGGCTATAAAATGTAGGTCAGGTAGGCAAAAATGTAAGAACACCAATGGTTAGGGTTCTTACACGCTTAAGAGTTGCTGTGGCTTTCTATCCGTAATTCATTCCAATATCTATCATCTGTATGGGGGGAGCAGAGTACCTGACAGTCATTACTATTCTGCACTTGATTAGAGGTTGGTATTTTTAAGATGTCTTTCATTCATGTTATTTATGTATACTTATGTATTTTTACAAATACTAGACAGTTCATTGGTGATACTGCAGATTGAAGTACTCATCTTGATTTTAAGATTTTTGGCTGTAGAATTATAACTGGAATTTTTTTAGCTTTTGGCTAAAACGTATACAAAGGCTGCTACAAGCCTTTATTTCTGTTGCTTTCCAAGAATTCCTTGAGATATTTTTCTTTCAAAAGAATATTCTAATGGTAAATTCTCAACCTCAAAAGTTACCATTCTGAAAAGGTAGTAAAAATCTCGTTTTTTCACACTGGAATTTGATGTAAGATTTTTTAAGTGTGCTATAATTGCAGAATTTTTATGAAATAAAAACTTTAAATAACATAAGCATTCCAAATCTAGATTTAAACTATAATACGCTATCTCAGATGTCCTCAGATGCTTTCTTTATATCTTCTGGATGCAAAATGTTCTTTCAATCTTTGCTGAAAAGAAAATGTGTATTTATAGGATCATTAGGATAATTAACTTGAATTTGAGAAAAATTATATTACTCTTAGTCACCTGATACTGCCTATGCTATAAGACCTGTTGTTGTTTTGAAAGAAAACTATATTTCACTAAAATGGCACAGATTGAAGATTGCACTACAAATTAAATTGAAATTCCCTTAAATAGGTTCACTGCAAGTCTGTTTCACTATACCTCATTTTCATCAACTTAAGTGGAAGTGGTTTTCCAGAGTTAGCATCTCATATAATAATCTATAATATCCCTAAGATCACTGAATATGTATGATTTATTTTTTAAGCCTGTTACATCAAGGATTTATTAGAGCTCAGTAAAAATATATATGTGTATGTGAATATATATGTTTTTCAACCAGTGCACAAGAATTAGAAATTAGCCCGTTATCCATACGTGGCAACTTGAATGTTCAAAATTAGCTGTCAAAATACTATTCAAGTACGAGTTCTCTTTCTGTTGGTCAAAGAGTTTTGGGGGGAAATGTCCTTGAAGTACATCAGACAGGGGTATAATAGGGTCTTCAATAAAGGACACATTGTGAAGACAGTAGTTTAAAAAGAATCCACTCTCTTTCAGAATTCCACATCTTAATTTAGGGAACATATCTTCTCACAAGACTCCAGGAATTAAATAACAGAGAAGAATTCAAGTGTTCAGTTTACCAGCTTATCTGCCATTTCTCATCTCCAAAATGCAAGGCCAGTGATAGTCACTAGGACACATTTTTCTGTGAAATGAAAACCACTAGACAGGAAATACATTTATCATAATAATTTCCTAGAATCATCTAGTTCCCTGTGTCTATTAAAAGTACATTTGAATATGACAGAGTTTCAAAGAAAAACAGTGAAACAATCACTATGATAGCTGAAATATGGCTTCATAGGAAACAGGGCTACATTTAATTAGTTTTGATTGTTTATGTGTCTTTTCTGTTTTTCGTTATAGTTCATATCACTGGCAAAGACTCATGAGCCAATCTTTTCCAATTTAAGTTACTACCAAAATTTACAAACTTAACATGAACATTACATTGTATTTACAAAGAACTTGGCACTTACAGAATAAATTATTGACTTTTTTTAATCCAGACCAGGGCACCCGAGGTTCAGGCAAATGGGAAAGCCTGATGCCTTCTTATATATTATGCTACGTTAATATGAATAAATAAGTTTCCAGCTGGTAATTCCTCCACAGTGCTGTCCCTGTTGCTGAAAACAAGTACCTTCCATTTCTAATCCCTGGGGAGTGTAGAGAAGTTATCAGTCCAGAGAGAGCAAAGGTTGCATGTTTTCTTCCTCATTTTTGTCCATGCGTTTTAGTACTGTAGGATCCACTACTGATTGGGATCTGGAAATGACAAAGCCAATGTCAGTGAGTTATTACCAAATAATCATGTTCTCTTCTCTCTTTTCTCTATTATTACTTCTCTCATGAATGCGGATTATCGTCCCCTACATCAAGAAATTTATGAACTGAGAAGACTGCACATTTAGAGAGAGACACACTTATGGTGGTGTTTTGCATCAGAGTGAGGAAACAATCCCCTCTGGCCTCTAAAGAGAATAATGAGCAGCAAAGGATTCTAAATATGCAAAAATAGGCTTAAGTCCTCAGCTTCACAATCGAGTCTTTACTGTGAGAGTGAGAATTTCTACTATAGGACAGAAGTATTCCAATAGAACATCTCCAAAGGGGAAATTATGACAGCGAAATTACTGTTATGAGAAATGAAATGGAAATGATAGAAGCCTCGGTTCCTGTCTGAAAGGGCTCCATGAAACAAATTCAACATGAATGTGCATTTTTTGACCATTTTTTATTTTTAATGATCACATTAGGAAAAAAATCAAAATTTGAATGTGAGTTTTGTTAAATTTCCCACTAGAACATCTGAATAAAATCAATCTTACTCCTGAAAATTTTGTGAAATATTTTAAGCCTTTAAAAAAGTAAAAACTCCTCTTGTTTAGGCAGCAGCAATTTATGATTAGGAAAGCAAATAATTTGAAAACCCCTTCGACACGCCTTCAATACCAGGTGGGACTTCTATCTCAACTGATCATTAGGAAACAAGGTTTAGCTGGGAAGGAGGAAAGTCAATGAAACATGCGACTGTTGTGGCAGGAAGCTGCCATCTTAATAGCTATGGCATTAAGGAAACAGCTGCCCTTTTAAAATTCTCTTCCGTAATGAATTTTCCCCTGCTGCTGCATTCCAGCCAATTGGCTATTGCTGTGGCAATATGCCCCTTAGCAGACTTCATTAACTTTCGAAAAGAAAGACTATAAGCTAAAATACAACTGCACCAGCTAATGAAAAAGAGCAGTGATGGAATGAATTATCAAAACAAAAATAATTACAGGACTAAGTGATAAACCGACTCCATTTAAATAAACTTAAATTTCTTTCTAAAGAGGGAATGAAAAGGAAGGTGAGAACACTAACACAGGGAGGTCTTATTTCCTAAGTCATTTTCACTATTTTATCTCAATAATAGGTATTAGATGCCTATATCAGAAAGGAGACAGTAAAGTTGAATGCGTGTGCGTGTGTGTGTGTATGTGCCAGAGAGAGAGAGAAAAAGAGAAAGAGAAGGAGCAATGATAATTTATCTTACAAAAAAGTACACGAATAATATACATTTTAATACAGTAGACAATTTTACAAAACACTTAGCGATTAGATTTTTACCACTGTTTTTTCTTAGACTCAACTAAAAAAGTTGGTTTCCCAAGATGAATCCATGCTAAAACATACAGAGGCTCATTTAATGTCCTGCACTAAGGCATTAACTTGACAGCTGGTACCCACTAGACTATAAGTTCCATGGGCAGGGACTTTATCAGTTTCTCTCCTTATTGCAAACACATGTGTCACAGAGTCTGTTACAGAGAAGGATCTCGATATCTTAATTTGTATCCAATAAATAGTTTCCATACTGAAAGAAGTTCAGTATTAAGCATTCAAAATGAAGAGTAATAAAGATAAAGCAATTTATCCTGTGGAGAAAGAAATTCTTAACAGAAAATGTATTTTAAAATTCTCATAAAGATAAATCTATTATATAAATGTTGAGCTATAGCCTAATAATACTCAATAAGGACACAGCATAGCTCTTCAGACAGCACAAAGTACACAACGTAAGCATTCGCCATCATGTTCTATTAAAACACGCAGCATAAATACACATGTGCAATCGTTTAAATCCTTATGTTCCTTGATTTAAAAAAATTATTAGAGGATATGATGATTTTAATGAAATAGTTTAAGTAACAGTGCACTATTCAACCTGGTTTTAAGTTCCTAGTTTGCTTTGGTCATGCACTAGAGAGATCAGAATTGTTGGATGATGAATGCTGGCTCCATATGGAGAACAATTCCTCAATAAAATAAGCCAGGCAGAAATAATTTCTGATGAAGAATTTTGGGGGGGGGGTATTTAATTGCCCCAAGTGTACTGTTATTTTAGTCCAGATTTTTTCTCTTTCTCTTACATAAAGCAGGGTTATTTGTGCAGGATCATAACTGTTAATGAATTGGTCTGTTTCAACTGCAATACAGAGGTGTCTGTCATTAACCCACAGGACATCTCAGCCGTCTCCACACAGCCTCTGCTGTCTTTGCAATAAATAACTTTTATTTTTTTCATAAAAACCAGTAAGTTAAATTTAATTATCTAGGTATCACTTTTTCACTTATTTTGCATCTACAATGTTGTGCTATACCTTAGTGTTTAAGAGGCTAGATTTTGAACTTAAGTGGATTCCAATTCCAATTCTGCTATTTACCAGCTCTGTGACCACGGGGAGGCTATTTAAACTTTCCAAGATTTTGTTCCCTTATCTGTAAAATGAGGGAAATAACATCTACATCATACAGATGTATTGAGGATCAAATTCAATACTACATGCACAAACTCCAGCACAAATTCTGGCAGATAGCAAATGGTAACGGTTAAGGAAATGACTTATGGAATACCGTTGCCTGTGTTCCAATATTAGCATTGATACTTGTAGCTATGCGGCATGTGGAAGTTACTTATCTCCTCTGTATCTGGGTCTCCTCATCAATAGGATGGGGATGGTACTACCTTATTAGTTGTTTAGAGAGGCAAAGGAGTCAATATTTACAAAGGATTAGATAGGATCTGGCATGTAGTAACAATAGATGTCGAATATTATTCCATAAAATTGAAGCTCATATTACCATAACGATATTAGTATTGTTGTTCATACAACTGTCATATGCCAGGCGCTATCCTAGGTACTGGAGATATAAGGTAAAAGATACTCCCCCAGTTTAAGGCACCCTCAGTCTAGCGACTTTGTGTCTTTTCACATGACTATGCTATCCCTCCACAAATTTATACGGGGGACAAAGTCTTCTTCCTATACATCTAGCTAAATTCACTAAAGGAAGAATTATCTACAACTCTTTGGAGGAGGAATGATTTTTTTCCCCTCTCAATCTAAGGATAATATAAAACTATAGAAGGACACAGAAGAGAGGAGAGCAAGGTGGATCCCAGGAACAATTTCCTCCCATCCTTTATGAGGAATTACTATTCCCTGACATAGAGAAGATGAAAATCAAGTGAAACAACTTTCTTGATCTCATTCTTTGAAAGTTTTCAAATAGAACCATAAAAGCTTCAGATGATACAAAACCTACACCAAACAAAGGACGTCTGAAATCCTAATCAGCCCACGGCAGCAACAAGAAACTCAGGGCTGGGGAGGTCGATGTGCTGTGAGCCAAGTCTGCAGGGGACAAAATGGCCTAATTAATTGGAGAAGAAAATCAGCGTCCAAAAAGACTTCAAAAGGTGAACAGACTGAGCCAAATCTAACAAGATGGTTTAATCAATTGAAATAATGTGATTGGAGGAAAAAGCTAAACACAGAAATAGAGAATTATGAGGATATGGATCTATAATTAAAGAGACACTAGTTTTAGGGAGCTCAATATGAGTCAGCAATGTGCTTTGGCTGCTGGAGTGGCAGTGACAGTGACAACAACAGCAATCAAAGGAATCCAATGAGGTCTACACTGCAAAGCCACAATTCTAAAACCTAAATGCAAGTAGTGATAGCGTCAGATATCACCTATTCAACTCTGAACACTGCATTTAAAAGGGGCCACTGACAGAGAGCAGATCACTGTTTCATTCATTTAACTGGTACCGAGTGAGCACCCCCTGGGCGCCAGGCCCTCCTCCAGACACTGGGGATTCAGAGGATCAGAGGAGAACAGGATAGATAAAGCCACTAAAGTCTCCACGAAGCTTACATTTGGGGGTGGGGAGGCTATAAAATTAGGTAAAATCAGTCATTTGACAGTCTGATAAGTGCTACGAAAAAAATAAAGGATGGTTGATAGACAGTGGTTGATAGAGAGTGACCGGAATTAAGAGGAAGTAGGGCTAATTAAGACCTGGTGATTGACAAAGACCAAAAGACCCTTTTGAGGGGGTGACCTTTTCCACTGGAAGATGGAGGAGAGTATTTCAGGCAGAGGGGCAACAAATGTAAAGATCCTTAGATAGGAACAAGCTGAAGAGGCTGAAGGAGAATAAAGAAGGACGCTGTGCCTGAAAAGCAGGGGAGGAAAGAGAAGGTAAATAAACTCAGGAGAGAGGTAGGCAGGATCAGATCATGTAGCACGTTGTAAGCCACGATACGGAATTGATTGTATTCATTGTATAATCAGCAGTCATTAAAAAATTTAAAGCAGATAAGTCAAGTGATCTGATTTACATTTTAGAATGATCTTTTGGATTCCCATGTGGAGCAGGGTGAAGGATGGAGGCAGAGACAGCAGGGAGGAAATTTGGGGGGGAGTGCAGGCAAGCAGAGTACAGGTGATGTGGGTACAGCTAAGGTTGGAGAGGACATGGAGAGAAATGTGCTCATAGGAGGGGACCACATTAGTGAACATGTCACAGAAGGAGTGGCCAAAGGAAATGTGCATTGTTAACTGAGAAAGGAAAAGACTAGGGAACACCTGTGACAGGTGTCTCCAAAGACTTATATTGCTCACTTCCAGAGTGAGGGCGCTCTATGTCATTGTGTCGAGGAACGGTAGACAAGGTTTATGTCAACAACATGAAAGACTCTACACCTCATCGACTGGAAAACTCTTCCACCACATAAAGACTATGTGACTTTAGGGACACAATATGTTTTAAACAGGGCTTCCTTGAGGATTAAATTAATTAATGTCACCAAAAAAGTTACCTAGAAGGGCCTAATCATAATAAGTACATGGTAAATGATAGATTGTAACAACTATTATTATTAGGATTATTATTTTTATTAGAAGAAAGTTATTCTTAGGCAGTTGGCTTTTAATTGTCTTTTTTTAGAAAACATTTTTGGAAATTTGATGAAATATATGCCTTCTCTCCAGAAAAAACACACAAAATACATATATTCATTCACACACATACACATATCATTTTGAATACGACTCTTAGCACTTAACAAATCCCTTTGAGATCCCATACATGAAACACTTTGGTTAGGAGAGCACAGAATTCTAATCAAGAAGCCCTGTTTCAAAAGAAGGGAGTTGAGAAGAGCAAACTTGGTTTAAACATAAGCTTGTTGATTAGGGGAGAAATTAAAGCTGGGGATATCTCTGGCCTTTCAATTCTCTCCAAGGAGTTGTGGAGCAGCCTAAGGTGGGAAAGACATTATACACACCAATAACAGAAACAGCAACAGCAACAGTAACAAAAAAAGAGCACAGCCTCAAAGAACAGGGGTGCCACTGCATGAGTCAGAGCTATGACCAAAAGACCATAAGGCTATCATCGGAGAAGGATGCATGACAGTGTTTGAGATGACATGGGAGATGCCCTTGGCACCTCCCTGAGTTAGGTAGGGAGAGACTTGCAGGGGCTGTGGTTCCTATATTTCTGTGATGGAAAATGAACCAAGAAATAATATTTGTTACGTTAGCCAAATGAATCCTGGGCTGGTGTGGCCTGGGGAAGCCTGAATTAGACATCTTCTGGTTCGTTACACAATGCAAATTCAGAGGCAGTCATGCATCTGTGCATGTCTGGCAACTCCCCACCTCCACCACCACCTGACTAGGGCTGGACATACATTTCATTTAGATTGGATCCAAAACACCTAGGAAAGTACCTATTACAGAACATATGTTCAATAAATATTGAAAGATTGATTAAAATTGATTGAAAGAAAACAGGCATAAAAATATCATGAGAGTCAAAGTAGGGAGTCACACTCTGACTCAACAATGTACTTTATAAAGATTAAAGCTGTGGGGAAATAGAATGTCTTGCCCCAGGAATGGCTAGACCCTTAAACAGAAACTTGGCAGAGACATCGAAAGGAGAAAATAAGCTTTAAATGTAGTTTTTGAAGTGTGTGTATGTGTGTGTGTGTGTGAGTGCTTGCTACGGATCCCTGTCTTCAAATGAAATCTTACATATAAGTCTAATACATTTCTTAGACAGAAGGAGAGTCATTCTCATTGCAGTGGAGATGATTAGTGTCACCAGCCCACCTGCTTGGCCTGAGGCACTCTACCAGAACCCCTAAGGTATAGTTTGAAAAAGTCACTAGATTTGGTGACTTCTAAGGACCCTGCTAGGCTGTGAATTTGGAACAACACTGAGTTGGGGTTACCTCAAATGACTTTATCTTTGACTCAGAATTCCTAGAGATCTAATCGTGGTGGCATGAAAGGTTTTAAAATCTCACCAAATATCTACTTCTGAAACACATAAAACCTAGAGTTATATTAGGGGTGAAATATAACTGGCTCCAGCCCACTACCCAGCTACGTCCAGCATACCTCTTCATGGACTTGGGGGAGAGCTCCTTTTCCACTTCCTTCACAGGCATGCTGTAGGAGTCCACGTTGTATTCACTGTCATCATCATACTCATGGTCCAGCAGTGTTCTTGCCCATGTTCCCATGTCATAAGGGGGCAGCATTCCTCCAAACTCAGAGGGCAGGATCTCAGGATGAATTAGTTGGTGTAGACTGTTCAGGTTGTTGCCATGCAAAAATATCTATAAATGCAAGAAGAGGGGTCAGGGGGGAACACACAGAAGACAATAAATACCATCCAAGTGCCGAGGGGAAGGAGTAAGGATAGGAAGACCAAAAACAAGAGTTTTCTGTCTGTTAAAATATTTAAGCCCCTCACTTGCTCTGTGAAACAGGCAAAGCTGTACTGTTATCCTAATATTTCACATAAAAATCCTGAGGCTCAGAGATTCTAAGTAGTTTCTAGAAGGTCAGATAGTTATCGGGTTAAAGAGCTGGAACCAGAAATTTGGTTTCCTGCTTCATAGTCAGAGACATGAGCAGAATCCAATGGCATGTTGATCCTGGTATTAGTTGTGCAAAGCTGATGATGTGCATAATGAATGCTGTTAAAGCAGCCCTTTCTCATAAGGGACTCATCAGCTCCAGCTCCTCAAGTAATCCAAGTTATTAAGCCCAAAATCGGTCACCAGTATGGTTTTCTCTTCATCATCAATAAAACTAAGAATACTGTAACCACTAAATTACTGCTTCATAATGTGAAGTGTGTGATGTAAATAAAAGTAGATTAGCATCATTATAACAACAGGTTGAGTGAAGGTTCATGTCCCAAAGGACTTATGCTCTGTAATGTCGCCAGCCTTTTCTCTACCAGAGAATTCCATGCTTATTGTTCAAATAAAAAATAGAATAATGGACTGAAAATGTAAAACTGTATGTATGTATTAATTATTGGTATTGTTATCTACATAGGGCTTTTTAAACAAAAACTGGAGTGGGGGACATCTGGTGGCATCGTGGTTAGCATCAGGCACTTTGCTTCAGCAGCCTGGGGTTTGCGGGCTCAAATCCTGGGTGCAGACCTGCACATCGCTCATCAGGCCATGCTGTGGCATCATCCCACGTGCAAAAGAGGAAGATTGGCATAGATGTTGGCTCAGCAGCAACCTTCCTCAGGCAAAAAAGAGAGGAAGATTGCCAACGGATGTTAGCTCAGGACAAATCTTCCTCACCACACACACAAAAAAAAATTGGAGACTTATTCAAGCTACATACTCAGGATTTGTTTCTCCATATATTGCTATCTCCTCTTCTTCTTTCATTTCAATCTCAAAACTGCAGAGCAGTCTTCTCTGAAATAGCATTGTTGTCATCTCATGTAAACTTATGTATTATTTATTTAAGGATTATAGTTTCTAAGTGACTTAAAATAATTTCACACTTCAGGTTCAAGACAAACAGGCTAACACGCTCATCTCTTCTTTCTGTACTTTTAGAATCCACGGAAGTAAACATACAGGAAAACAAGGAAAGAGAAGTCTGCAACATCAAATAAAATGAGAGGGATGGCAGTCACTAATCAACAAGTAATTTCAACAACTTATGGAGGAGTAAAAGCGGATGAGAACATGTCACTGGCCCAAATTGGCAGAGCAAATATCATGCCTGAAATACATCATGTGGGGCCTACAGAGGTGGAAGACGCCATCTGCCCCAAAGTAGATCAAGTTAATTGCAAACTTTACACCTTCCCACTCCTATTTGCAGAGCACAACAGCCCAGGAAAACACACACACACACATGCACATTCCTAGGTTCTTCTTGTAAAAAACGAATTTTCCTGGAAAAGTTAAGTTCCAGCATCTGAAACCCTTATTTTATTAGGTATATAACCTTTATTTTATTAGATTTTACTTCATGTAGGAAACCTTCTCTTTCAAGTCATGCAAGAGTTATGGTAACAAATCCTTAAAGAAGTAAATGTAATCCTAGCACGCTACTTCCTTTCTCTTGGCTAATGCTCTGTTTCCTCCTCCCTCAACATCACTTTCAGCTTTTGCCTTGCTTTTTTTCACTGAAAAACTAGGGCAACCAGATGAGACCCACCCACCTGCATCTGTGTCCATATGCTTTGCCTTCGTTCCTAGTACAATGGAAGGATAAACTCTCCAAAGGCCAGCCCCTCCACCTGTGCACTAGAATGCATGTTCTCCTCTACTCAATTATATTTCCCAGCAATTCTCTCTTATCTCTCTTGCATCACCAAATTTCCTCTCTCTGCTGGATCTTTCCCACCAGAGAACAACCATGCCAACTCTACTCTTCCCCTCCCCCCAATACAGATATAGAAAACCTCTCTCAGCCTTCCTGCCACATCCAGTCATTATCCCATTTCTCTCCTTCCCTTTACTGCAAAACTCATCAAAAGAGTTGTCTATAGTCATTGTCCAAATACTCTTGCCCAATTTTTCCCAAATTCAACCCAAATAGGCTCTGCCTCCCACCATAGCGTTAAAAAAATAGCTTTTGTCAATATCCTTCTCATTGCTAAATTCAGTGCCCAATTCTCAGTGCTTATTTTTCTTGAACTCTCAGCAGCGCTGGATAGAGTAGATGATTCTTCTTATTGAAACATTTTCTCCCAGGACCTGTCAGTTTTCTCCTACCTTGACAAATGCTTTTTGTAGTCTCCTATGTTGACTGTTCCTCATTACCTCAATATCTTAACATTGGAGAGCTCTAGGCTTTAGTTCTTGGGTTTATTCTCTTTTCTAACTATACTCACCTTTTGGTAATCTCATTGACTGAAGGAGACTTAGTGGCTTTAAATATTGTCCATACACTGAAAATTTAGACCCTGAATCCAGGCCTTTCCTTTGAACTCCATATTGGCTTTTCCACTCTCTATGTCACATCACTTAAATGGTCAATGGGCACCTTGAACTTAACATGCACAAAAGTGAAATCACAATTTTCTCCCCCAAATCAGCTCCTCCTTATTTTCAACATCAGTTGATGGTGTGACTATGCTTCTAGTTTCTCAGGCCAAAACCTTTGACTCATCCTTAATTCCTCACATCATCTAAATTATCAGTAAATCATTTTGGTGCCACCTTCAAAATGTATCCTGAATCCAAATATCTGAGCAGCTCCACCGCTACAACCCTAACTCAGGCTACTCTCACCCTTTAAATTGTATGACTGTGTTAGCATTTTAACTGCTCTCCCTACTTCCGTTCCTGCCACTTACACTCTATTCTCAACACAGCAGCCAGAATGACTATGTCAACACATCAGTCAGATTGTATTCCTCTGCTCACAGCTCCCATTGGCTTCTCCTTTCTCCTAGAGGAGATCCTATAAGGCCCTCCATGAACTCCTTCTTGGAACACATCTCCTACTATTCATTCCCCTGCTGAAACACGCTGTTCACACATTTGTCTCAGGATGCTTACAATGGAGGTATCTTCTGCCTCCAAATGTACTCATGGTTTGTTCGCCCACATCCCTCAAGTCTTTGCTTGAAAATTCCCTTTCATGAAGGCCTTCCCTGGTGAGCCTTTGTAACATTGCAACCCTGCCCCACATGGAAAGCCCCGTCTGCTTTCCTACATCATGTTTCTTTATAGCCCCTCTCACCTTCTAACATATTACATAATTTATTAGTTACATTATGCACATACTGCTTTGATGATTCATAAAATATAATACCATCATTTCTCTTAATCCAAGATTTGTTGAAAAATATATATTGTATGAAGATTCTTTTCTAGAACTGTTAAATGTGATTGTACATTTGCACTGGGCAATAACGATGCATTGTAATTGCCCAACTATTAAATTTTTGCTGTTTGATTTTCCTTTATTTTAGCTAGTTCTGTGTAGTAATATTATTTACTGAAGTTTTACTATATTCTTCTCCACATGAATTTTTTTTCTTCCTCCATTTCATGCAAGAAATCTTGTCTTTGTGAGCTCCTTTGCCTCAGGGTACCTTACAATTCTAAAAATTAGCCTGAATAATACTTCAGTTTTTATTTATTTTCTGAAATATTAAAGAGATTATAGTAGGAGACCTGAGTGGAAAGGAGGAGGGTGGAGTGTTTTTGAGAATTAGCAAGGAGTAGGAGTAGAAGTGAGAGTCCACCATATTGAGAAAGAAGTAGAAATTTGTCCCAACTAGCAGGGAAGCTTATTTCCTGTCAGCTCTTGGGGAGTGTAAGACCACATCCACAGGCCAGCTGAAGAGTGCCCTGGGGTAGTGGGTTGAAGCCTAGCCATTGGGTTCTAGCTTCAGCAAAGATGTTTTTTCACAGACAACTTGGGAGCAGAACGAGACCTTAATTAAGGAACTAATACTAGCTTGAACAATGAGGATATCAGAAGTAGCCATGATAGATGGGAAGTTCAACTCTACATGAACGATTCCAGACACCAATGAGATTTTGAGATGAAGGGACCTATATACCACCTAAGGATGATATTCCCATCAGCCCAGCATGTAGGAGACTCAAAGTCAGATTTAATTTAAGAAAATGAAGAACTAAGTATTTCTTGCTTGGGAAAGAAGATTCACAACTACTTCTTAGGTTTTCTTCTACCCAGTTTTCAGAACACAGATTTGTAGCATCTGTAGTATAAGGTGTTTGAGTAATTGTGATGCTGAATCACTTGGAATACCAGTGAGGGAATGTAATAGTTTTTCATTGTGCATTGATTATATAAGTAGAAATTAAAGATATTTTAGCCTATGATTATTTTCTCATGTGAAAATTTCCAAGCCTACAGTTTCAATTAAAATGACAAAGTTCAGATACCTCACTTCCTATGGAAAAATGCTGGCTGTGCATTCTTCCAGGCATTGTCAAAATTGTCAAATTCAATCAAACAACCCCAAATCTGAAGCTTTCCTTGTTTCCTAGACTTGACTCTCTTCAGCCTTTTCCAACAGAGCAGCAGCATCTTAAAATCATGTCAGAACAAGTCGCTCCTGAACTCAGTCTTTCAAGTGCTTCTCATTTCATTCTGACTGAAACTCCAGATCCTCGCAATGGTGTACCAGCCCTGTGTGATCCGGCCCGCGCTCCCTCCTATCCAGTCCCCTACTGTCCTCCCCAACAGCCCATTCTGCTCCAGCTTTTCTAGCTTCCCTACTGTTTGTCAAATGCACCAGGCATGTTTCTACCTCAGGACCTTTGCCATCGCTATTTCCTCTGCCTGGAACAGTCTTCCCAGTAAACCCACATATTCACTCTACTACCTCCTAGCTGTGATTTAGAGGAAACTGCTTAACCTTCTGTGCCTTATTTTCCCTTCTAAAAAGGATAAAAATAACAATGCTTACCTTAAAGCCTTGTTGTAAGGATTAAATGAGTTAACATATGCATAGTACTTAGAACAGCATGTGGCAGAGAGTGCATGCGACAGAAGCATTCACTACATAATTTGCACTAAAAGCCCCAGCAGGTGTTTTGGGTCACCTGATCATCCCTTCATAAAACAAGGTTTGAGGGTGCTATTTGCAAGGCACGTCAATACATTTTTCTGAATTTTAAAATGTAAGTTAATTTAATTCTCGGTGGTCGAAACAATTCCTAATATAAATTAGACATTTAAGGAATTTTTTCCTCTTAAACAACTGGAACATTTTCAAAAATTCGTAAACAGAAAACTCTCCATTCATTAACGTTTGATGCAAACACGTAACAATTATTTTCACTTCACACTCACAGTGGGGCTCCTACGGCACTGAAACACCTAAGGTACCTTCTCCCTCCTTGAGAAACATGGAAAATTATCTTCCTGACAGATTTAGAAGTAAGTATATTTTACTGTGGAACTAATCATTTGAAAATTGGTCACAGCACAGTGATAAAAATAGCTCTAAATGTGGAGCCATTTGGATGCAAATATTAGCTTTACAACTTTACAGCTGAGTCGATGAGAAACAAGTTACTAATCCAGCCTGAGACGCTCCTCAGCTCTGACACAGGAGACCATGCTTGCCTTTTCTACTAAGCTTACTTTTCAGAGCTGTTTGCAGGAAAACATGAAATAATATGTATTTAAATGCATTTTTAAACCTATATTATTAATAATGATAAATGTATTCAGCATTTACCATGTGCCATGCACTGCGCTAAATAAATTGCTTTACATAAATTATCTTATTCTCAGGGGCTGGCCCCGTGGCCGAGTGGTTAAGTTCGCGCGCTCCGCTGCAGGTGGCCCAGTGTTTCATTGGTTCGAATCCTGGGCGCGGACATGACACTGCTCATCAAACCACGCTGAGGCAGCGTCCCACATACCACAACTAGAAGGACCCACAACGAAGAATATACAACTATGTACCGGGGGGGCTTTGGGGAGAAAAAGGAAAAAATAAAGAAAATCTTTAAAAAAAAATATCTTATTCTCAGAAAAAAATGACTATTTTATTGTATGTACTTTGAGTATCCTCATTGTTAGATAAAACTGAATCTTAGAATTCAAGTAACTTGTCATTTGAAGACATATTAAAGTTTCTACACATTAGCATTCTTTTTGAAATGTGTGATCGATCATGACAACCACTGCAAAATTATACTCAATAGCACAAAATTCACTATAATCAATGTAAAAGATATTGTGATATAATAACATCCATTTATCAACTTACAAAACTATAACTTTTGTCTAGCCCTTACTTGAAATTAAGTGTACCTATAACAACATAGTAACATGGCATAATTTTTTTTTTACTTTTAACCTGATGCTTTAACATGTAATGAATGAGCCAAAATCTTCTCCCCATTTGTGGGAAACCAGGAGAGCTAGCTTTTAAATACGTCTTTTACAGATACGCTGTTCAGAATTAATCACAAAGTCTCTAAGAATTTTAAAATGTCTTGTATGTTGAATATTTAAATGCAATATAGAAGTGCATTTTACCATGGCTGATATTATATGCACAGTATGCATCATAATTCATTGAATGGGGGAGGAGAAAGGATAAAAAACAAAGAAATAAACAGATACCCTTTTCCGAGTCTTCTCCTTCAGGAAAGGCCGGATCACGGTGTAGAGGGCATGGATGTACCACGGTTGATTGACAAAATGAATTCCTCCGAACCGCGCTGGGAAACTATCCTAGAGAAACATGGAGGGAAAAAAGAAATCGAAACAAGCTTTAATACATTGAGAAGGTCCAAGGAAGGTCATATGGCATTTACAAATTTGTTATTCCACCCACTTAAATGAGATTATCTATATAGTTAAGGAGAAGAAAGGAGGAAGAATCTTACAACATTAAAGATTGTACCTTTCATACAGAAACTGAAGCAATATGTAATAAAGCAAATCCTTCTCAAGAATAGGTTGTTGATAAGAATTTCAGCTTTTTTTGGGAGTGCCATATTTTAAGACTGTAAACGGCTAACAGTCATTGTAGGCCAAGAAACAGAAATAAAAGACATTAGAGTCTTGGCAAATAATGAATCTATGTTAGATAAGTGTTTTATTTACATTATTTATATTTATATTTATATTAAAGCATATTTAAATTAAAATATTTTACTAAATTTCACTGTAGTCATCTACAACGTGAGCACTGTCAGATATCAAAACTCACTTTGTTCTCTTTATCTCATTATTTTATCAACTTTATTATAAACATTCTCCTGTCCTTATTTCAACCATAAAAAAAGGAAATGTGCTTACGCATAATAAAAAGCTAAAGTTGTCGCATAAGAAATTTGAAGACGCGTTTTCCTAGGTTAAATGAAAATCAAAACCCTCTGAGCTTGCCCCACAGGAAGAAAAAGGTGCTACCATAAAGCCAGCATCCTCTTTAAGAAGAACTCATCTGTGTAAGGTGTGACTCTGGAATGTTATAGAGAGCTGTTTTCTTCCTACCCATGACTAGGAGCATCCCAATTCCACTCCATAATACAAAGAGAATCCTTAAGCCAAATGAACTGCAACATTTGACAGTACAATTGAGTAGGCTATGGAGTCCACGTGAACAGATCTGATTATTGCTACTAGTTCCAAGTTCCACACTGAGCTGACTACAATAGATTTCTTTTGAAAAACTGTACCGCTGGAGTGTTTCTCAAGTGGCAACATAATAATTGACATTCTTCTGAATTCTACTTAGAGTATGAACAGGAACAAAAGAAAAGTAAAGGAACAGAAATAATTGCAAATATTTTTTTTTAATTTAAATTTTCTCTTGAACAAGATTCTCTGTTCAAAAACATACATGGCACAACCCCATTAAAATATTTTGGCTTTTTGGGGGACATTTAAGAGCATTAGTAATTAATTAGTGGTTTTGTATATTGATTTTCAGAGCTGATGGGCATTTTTTACAAAGTAATTTCTATCTCTGAGAATAATACACTATGAAAAAGCAACAATACTTAAAAAATAAATTAGACCAGCTAAAGGTAAAAATGTCTTTTATAACAGTCTTACTTCTTTTATAAACATGTAGTTTTTATTCACCAAGAGGTTATTACAACAGAAAAGAATCAGAAATGCAAAATAGCCTTTTTAAGTTATGACATTTTTATACATAAAAGGAAGATACATAATGTATATACGATAAAAAGAGAGCTAAGACAAACACCCATGTGCCCTTCACTCAGCTTAAGAAATGCAACATGCTCGGTAACCTTCAAGTTCACTGTATTTATACTTTCACCATCTCCCACATTTTTAAATTTAATTTTATAATTCCCTTGCTTATATTTTATGTTTTATTTGATAAATATCATAAATATTATACTCTATTCTTATATTTAATTTATTTTTATATTTTACATTTTTGCTATGTAACCCTAAAATACACTGTTTTTTAAGTACTTAACCTTTACAAAAATGTCATTGTAGTGAATGTATTCTTCTGTTGTTCCATAACATTGTTTTGGAGGCTCGCTGTATTTGAGGTTTATCCTTGCGTGTGGCTATAGTTCATTGTCACTGCTGTATGGTATACCATTGTATGGTACACCACAATTAATTTATTTTTTCCTGTCCATGCACGTTGTTTTCTAGGTTTTTTTGTTTGTTTAGCCATTACCAGCATTGCTGCTCTGCAGACCTCATTCTTAGACGTGTCTCTTGTGCATGTTCGAGAGTATATGGATGCAGGGTAGGTATCCAAAAGCGTTAACACTGAGTCATAGAGCGTATATACTTCAACTTCACAAAACTGGTGACAGCAATTGTCCCAATTTGTACCGCTCCTTTCTCTAGTAATGCAGGAAAGTTCCAGCTGTTCCACATATCACATTTTTATTTGTCAATCTTTCTAATTTTTGCCAATCTAGTGGGGGTAAAATAGCTTTTCATGTGATTTTACTTGACTAATTCCTCGGGCTTTGCTCATTTTGTTTAATTCCATCATTAATAACATGTTTAACAACATAACCATTTTATACATGGGTATTTTGTTTCTGAGTCCTTGAGGGCCTGAATTTGTTTGCTGTCTCTGCTGATCTCGTTCACGGTATCTTGTTTACGGTGAGCTTATATTTGGCTAATGTTAGTCATTGGGGCTCCCAAAGGAGCTGGCTTGAGGATGCCTTTCTCCAGACAAGATTCATATCAGCTCCCACGAGGTGCTTTCAACCTGGTTTGGCTTTAATTTAATTTCCCATCTTGAATTTTCTCTGACTGTGCAATGTATATTCAAATCTAAGATCTATATGAGACAATTATGGCCTCAGATTATCAAGGAAAACTATTATCATCATCATCAATACCAATATTATTATTACCATTATTATTTTTCCACCTGGATATGGGAGAGGCAGAGAAGTTTCCTTAAAGGTTTCCTGGCCAGCAGGGATTTTCCTAGCACAAGCTTTCCCCAAGGCTGTAGCATCTAGAGGAACAGTCTCACATCCAGCTCCCCATTGCCCTGAACGTGTGTCAGCCTGCTCTGCTCCTGCCCCAGGCGATCATTACTCTCTAAAGCTCTAGGTTCCTGCCGTCACCGCATGCCTCCAGAAGCACCCAGGCTTCACTTATTCTCCTGCTTTCTTTCCAGTAGATTTTGTGTGCTTGGCTCTGGGGGAACTTGTCTCATATTCCCCAGAGTTCAGTAAATCATCTGGAAATACTTTTGTTGTGATATATCCAACACCTTGATGTTTCACGGCAGGAAGTTTTTAAAGAATTTTTAACCTGCTGCACGACCTGAAGCAGAAATACTTAGTATGCCTTCAAAATATACTCCTGAGTGAGCATTTGATCTCTAGAACAAAACTCAATGAACACCAGCTATCAAGTTATTAAGCCAAACGTCCCAGCTCAGTGATTTTTAAACATTGAGAATCATATGCAAACCATGCTTCTTCTATCCTGAAAAAAGAATATGCACAGACATATGCTTAACTTACACATGATGGCAGGAGAGTTCTTGAGCACGTCTTTATTTATAGAATGACGTGATCAGTATCAAATCACAGTTGAGACAGGGTGAAAGAGAAGGGAAAGCACTGACTTTGCAATCCAGCAGATTTAGTTTAAAATTCTGACTTCATGCCACCTCTGTCCTCTCAGGCATCAAAGTCCACAGCAAGGACATAATGCTTGTCCCTTCCTTTGCTCACTGTGATACCCCTCATTTCCTTTCTCTCTTCTCCTTGTGGTATCACTGTTATGCGCATGTTACACTTTTTGTAGTTGTCCCACAGTCCTTGGACACTCTGTTCTGTTTTGGGTTTTTTTTTCAGTCTTTGTTGTTCTCTCTGCCTTTCAGTTTGGGAGGTTTCTATTGATACATGCTGAAGCTCAGATTCTTTCCTCAGTCATATCCAGTCTACTAAGAAGCCCATCAAAGGCATTCTTCATTTCTGTTACAGTGTTTTTGATCTCTAACATTTCTTTTTGGTCCTTTCTTAGGACTTCCATCTCTGCTTACATTGCCCATGTGTTCTTGCATGCTGTCTACTTTATCCATTACAGCCCTTAACATATTAATCATAGTTGTTTAAAATTCCTGATCTGATAATTCCAACCTCCATACCATGTCTAGTTCTGATGCTCACTCTGTCTTTTCAAATTGTGTGGGTTTTTGCCTTTTTTTTAGTATGTCAACAATTTTTTCTTAATATCCGGACATAATGTACTGTTGTAAATAGACATTTAGTGATGTAGGGGTAAGGTGTGGGGGAAGAGAAAGCATTTTGTAGTCTTATGATTTGGTCTCAGTCTTAAGTGAGCCTGTGCCTGTGGACGGTGAACTCACAAGTGTTTCTCAGGTATTTTCTCTCCCCTTAGGTGGGACAGGTAGCCTGGAATTGGATGTTTCCTTCTCCCATGTGGAAGGCTAGAGTTGGGTATTTCCCTACCTCCTGATCAGTTAGGGTCTAACAATTCCCCAGCAGGTCAGGCTCTGGTTAACTAGTTTCTCCTGAGAGCAGGCCTCGTTAAGAACAGAGTGCTCTGGCATATTTCAAAATGGTTCCTTTTCCCTTCCCCCTGACAGAAACACAAGTGTGTTTTTCTCCAATTATTTACTGTAAGAACCCAGTTGAGCTCATGGAGGTCAATCGCACAAAAGTGTGGAAGGCCCCCTTATGACTCGCGCCTCCTGGCACCTTTCACTCTCAGCACTGTTTGTGCGCAACGAGCCTCCAGCAATTCATCAACTGCAGTTCAGGTTGTTCTACCCCGCAGTGGCTCCCGGGGTGGTGTCCCCTCAGAAGTCTCTGTTCCAATAAGCTGAGACTCTCTGTATTCATCTCTCTCTCCAATCTTGGTGACAGTGGTTTGCCCTGCATCTTCACCTCTCTGATGATCTGGGTTGATTTTTCAGTCTGTTCAGTTTTTTACTTGTTAGAAAAGAGGGGCAAATTCCAAGCTTCTTAGATGTGGAACTGGAAACTGGAGCTCCCCTCATTTCTGATCACGTCCCAAGTCCTTCAATATTTACGCCCCCACCTCTGTGTAGCTTCGCACTTTCATATTCACCCTCCACATGAGGCGAATGTGATCACAGTAAAATCCAAAGCCCATTCCCTCCACATCCCTGCTTAGCACCATGTCACTTCCCAGCACCCACTTCACGTCTGTTCATGTTCAGATGCTGTTTTATAGCTTGCTGACTTTGTTCTCTCCCAGCTGGCATAGTTCTC